TATAATCGTTAGATCATTTGAAGAAGAAAGGTAAAGTCATCGTACGGTAAACAAAACTGTATTGCAAGAACTAGAATATGAGCTGGTGGTTTTCATCCACTTATGATTAGAGTGAAAAATTGTTTTGTTATCAAAACCGTCAACTATACGGAGAAGAACAAGCTTTCTTCACAGTGTACAAATTCTGTTCGAATTAATTAAAAGCGTTTTTTTTTTCCATTAATTGTAACGAACTAAAATTAGCAAATAAAAATTCAGATGCACCAATCAATCTCTGAGCACCCTTTTATAGAAGTTATTCAAAATAATTCTTAGAGATTCAAAGAGATGGTAAGCAATTCCTTCCTGAATACTCAGAATTCCTTGTACCGAAAGTTGCGATTGTAAAAAATAAATAGCGAATAAGAATAAGTAAAGTTGCGTAAAAAACTTACGTTGCTTGACCCTATTTCGCGCTAATATAAGTCAAAGCTTTAGTAAAATTTTTGTTAAAAAAAATATAATTTATTTTAATTTATATGTAAATTTCAAACATTCAACAGATAGCTGTTTCCAAAACTTTTCAAACCTTTATTTGGTAGCGCCATCTACTAGACATACTCACAAATATAAAACAACAATAAATCTTAACATATGATCCAAATCTAGTTTTACAATTAGAATAAAATAAAAATACTTCTTTTCTGCTAAACTAATTATTAGTTTTGTTCATGAAAGTTAACGCATGTAAAGAGAGTAAATAATAAACAATTAACAAAATTTAAACCGAAAATTCTTTGATTGTTACAATAATTAAAATCAGTACTAAAATTAAGATTTGTAGAGCTAAGTTAATCATGCTCACCCGACATGAAAGACTGTAAAAAATAAATATTAATTTTCTCGGGAAAATTAAACAGTTTTCAGAACAGTTTCTTCGGGTTTAAATCTAACTTTCCGAAATTCTTTTATACTTTTATTGCTGTTAAGTTGGCTTAAAAAAATGAGATTTACTGGGACTGGTACAATACATAATTTAAAACCATTAGATTCAGTTTCTAAATAAACAAATATTAAAGTTTTAAAATCTTACACGAATTTAAAATTCATATAACTATCACATTTCATAAAAATGCAAATTAATATATCTTATACAAGTTTGAGTTCAGGTAATACAAATAACTAATACAAATTGCATTTTGAACTAAACAAGCAATTTTGATTAGAAGTTTTAAGATAGATTGAATTGGTTGACTGGTATTTGCTAATTAAAATGTATTTTCAATTTTCAACTTCTTAAGTTTTTATTGAATGAAAATTTAAATATATTTATACCGAAAACTGGAAATGCCCACATAGTAATTTCATTCAGTTATTCTAGTTAAGCTTTTCTTTAAAAAAAATTCAAAACTTTAATATTCCTTGGTGTCATATTTTTGTATATTCAATAATCTTAAATCTATGGTAACCCTAAAAGACAATGTAGCAGACAAGGTTATGAAGGAATTATTAGACTCTCAAAAAAATACATTTTAAGAAAACATTACTTATTTGCCTGAACTAAAATTAAAAATTAAATGACAAGTTTGAAACTAGATTGCTGTATATATTTTTAATGCGACAACGATGTGAATTGTATGTTCATTCAAAATCCAAAACGACTAATAGTATAAGATATTACGTAGTTGTAAAATTATAGTAAGAATAACTTTACTTTATTGTGCTTTCATGCTTAAAATGCATAATTAAATGATTAAAATACAAACATCGGAAAATAAAGTATTCTGTTATATCTAAATGATATAATTATTTCATGATATAATTATTTGCAGAAAACTCTTAATTTTAAGGACATAAATATTGATACTAGTATTTGGTACTTTCTCTAAACTGTAAACTAGATAATTACTTTTACACTTAAACTTACAGTATGAAAATGTACACGAAGTTAATTTATGTATTAAGATTTGCATAATAAAAATTACCTTTTTAAAAATCATTTTTACTACTTTTAATAAAGGAAATTGCTGCTTATCCTTAAAGTTGCAATACTCACTAACTTGAACTTAAAGTGGTTAACAAATTTAAAGTAGTTACCAACTTTAGATTGATTTGGTTTATACTATATTTTAGCAGAATGTAAAAATTGTCTTTGATTTGGTAAAGTATTCTTTATTGGTTCAGTTTTCTTATCGTTTTCTTTTTCTTCGTTTAAAGATTTTCTTAAATTTTTTATTTAAACACGATTATTTTTTATACAAAACTTTACAGTCATCTACAATGTTTTGGGAACCATTTATTTCAACACAATCTTAAATCAGTTTGACTTTCCGTGCATTCAATATGATGGTGACTTGTTAACATATTCAATAAGTTGTGACTTCTAACTCATTAATTATTATTGATATACTATTGATATACCTTGAATATACCTTCTTACAAAGCTTGATAATTAAACAAATGAATTACTGGCAAACCGGAGTTTTAAGGTTTATGCATTTGTTTTTCTTTCCCATTAGCACAAAAAACTGCCTTTCTCAAGTATAATACTTTTTAATTCAAAATACAAAGCATTATTCTTAATATACAAGTGGCAGCCCATTATAGAATTTTTTGCTTATGCAGCATTAAAAAATTAAATCTTAAGCATGTTTTTTTCTCTCTCTCTCTCTCTCTCTCTCTTTTTTTCTTTGCTTGCAATTCAACACTTTATGTTACGAAGATAAAGGCAGGCGAAAATTATTCTAGAGATATTTTATAACTAATATAACATTTATACGTATAATGTTTTGAATACGTTTTATATATTATCGATAAAATGCCGCATTCTCCTCGAGCATCCTGAAGTAGATTGTTGTGGTTTTCCTCTCCTTGTAACATTAAAACATATCAATTTTAAAAGCAAAAGATAGAAATAATTTTCATCGAAGTCATTTCTAAAATTATAAGAATACGGGAAAAACTGCCATGAGAAATGCTGTAGCGCGCCGTTCATCAAATAAAAGTTACATATAAAAGAAAACAATTATAGACGTACGTTCATTTATGGTTGTGCATCATAAGTACCATGTGCTATGCACATATATTACTTGTTACACATTGAATTCACCAGCTACTGTCAGCTGGTCTTGCTATAGACATTGATGTTAGTTTACCACCAAAAATCTGCAAATCTGCAAGCATCATAGAACAGACTCCCATTTTCTTCAGTTAAACTTTTTTTTTCTTTTGAAACTTCAACCACATCTGAACTATTTTTACCGCAAATTGTTTCAAATTTCCTTAAAAATGTATAAATAAATAGTCACATTTTAAAATGTTGAACTTTAAAAATAAAAACTAAATCATATAAATATGTATAATATTAAATTGTAACAAGTTTAAAGGATTTAATCTATCACTGTAAAAAGCTGTATCCCCTTTTTCTCGACATATTCAGTTTTTCAAGCTTCTTAGTTCTCTTCAAATAATCATATATTTTTCTTTAAATCTTTTCTACGTGAATGAACTTGGCACTATAAATAATTACTTAAAATTTCAATTTCTGGAATCTTAAATTTCGTTATATGCTAACAAATACGTTTGAAGATGGCGCCACTACAGCAATCTTACTAAACATTTAAAGACATAAAAATATTTGACGCAAGTTTTTCATTTCTTAATATTACATGGATATACAATCTTAAAAATATTTGCCACTTTGAATACTCGATATAGAATATGTATCCATTAATGATTAATGCATAATTCTTAAAAAAAAACATTTTTAGATAGTTTATCAATTACAAAGTAAGATGTTGGAGTTATTATTTACCTAAAAATTTATTAGTTTACAAATAAATTTTTAAAAATCAATATGGCTTCAAATGTATAGCTTAAATTACAAAAAATTATAAAAAGTTAAATCAATAATAATCACTTTTAAAGATAAATTTCGAAAATTAAATCTCCATGATTTTCTCTCATTTATTTTAAGACAATTCTTCTCTTCACTAGATTAAATAGGCAGTTTTGACTCTTTCTTACTGCAATCAAGTGATAATTATTTTGTGAAAAATTGCTACAAATTGGATCAAGTTTTAATAGATGATTTACTTAGTTTACTAGCAACATGTTTTTAAATTAGTATACATTCTAGCTGGTTAGATCTTGCAGACAACTTTCAATTTACGAAAAGAAAATGTGTTTTTAATGCAAATTACAGATATTGTACTCTTTAAAATATATATACTTCCTGACCCCACGCCTAAAAGTCCACTGTGTTCCTTATCGTCTTGTTATAATAAAGAATACATTTTAAAGTAAGAATATTTAAATGCCATGCTTTGTTTTCAAGTGGAGCCTGGAGATTATTCTAATCTTCGACCTACTTTCTCAAATAAAGAAAGCGAAACATCTACGCATAAAAATATAAAAAGCTATTTTTACTTGTGCGTCCAAAATTATAAAAAGATTTCTATAATTTTAAATGTGTATTTTTTTAAGAATGCATTTTTTTAATTAATGTATATAGAAAGTTTACGTTTTCATCGCCTTTAATATAAAAGTTAAGAATCCTTATCAAAGTCTAAGAAATTAGTTTTTAGAATTTAGTACATAATTAAGAAAAAGAAAACTAAGAATTTATAAAATAATGACGAATTATTAACGAGGGAAGTTAGTTTGAAAACGTCAAAACCTGTTAGATTTCCGAAGAAATAGGTACTAACTAAGAATTTAAGCTAGCATACTGCCTAAATGCTCCCTAGTATATTTTAAAACTACTTCAAATTTTCCAGCATGGATGCTAACCGGTTTCAAAATTTTCTTCATGTTTAAAAACTGGTATCAAAATTTCCAGTACGGTTTTATACCGATTTCACTCTTCTAGTATATTTAAAATCTGCATGATTCTTACTGGTTTTAAAATTTCAAGTATGGTTTTATACCAGGTTTCAAGATTTCCTTTATAGTTTCATACCAGTTTTTACATTTCAGGTATGGTCATACTAGTTCTGATATCATTTTTACTAGTTTTTGACACTGGTTTTTTGAATTTTTTTCTAATAGGTTACTTTTAAAAATAAAGAAATTAAAACATTTATGCATAAAATGTAAAAAGCTATAATTTATTTGTGAAACTAAAATTCATTACAATAGTCAAAGTTTACGTCTGTCTACTTTCTGTCTATACGTCTAGTGTGTTCCTTTTTGTCATGTTATAATTAAGAATGCATTTTAAAATAAAAATATTAAAATTTCATATTCTTTTTAAACAAAACCTGGAGGAGATTATTCTAATCTTCTACTTTAAAAATAAAGAAATTAAAACATTAATTCTTAAAAATGCAAAATGCTATATTTTACTTTTTCATCTAAAATTCATTTAAGTGGTCAAAATTTTCGTGCATCTGTACACCAAAAATTGCACCATTTACTTTACATTAAAGAGGTGTTCTACTAAGTGTTTCAGTATACCAGAACCTGGAACAGAGGAATACCTAGAATGTTCGCTCACATTTATTTCTGCAAAGTATCCGCCACCATGTTTGTTATTCAGAAAGACTAAAACATTTAAAATAAAATAAGGTACGATACACATCAGAATCAGTGAAGTTAATTATATGAGACAATATAAAGTAAGAATCAGTAATTTAAGTTACATACATACACTAATTACGATGAAATTAGTTTGTATGTTAAACATGCAAGGAAAGAGAAACGGATGCGAAATAGGCTTAGCAGAGCAGAAGCGAATTATACAGTATAAAGTTATGTAATACAGTTAACAGTGACTTAAAAATTAAATTATAAATATCCTTATTAGACAAATAAAAACATACATACATATTTTAAAAGCTAAGTTTAGTTTTTATGGGCAAAAAACAGCATTAAAGACAATCACAAACACTCGCCAACATGTCATAAATTGTAAACTATTACAAACCTGCCACTCTGATGTTTCCGGAAACAAAAATATTAAACGTGAAGTATTAAGGCGCGTGATATTGGTGTAAACTTTTTTGCTTTTTATGTGTTTCAACAAGCTTTCATACAATATTTGAATTGTGTATGAAAGCTAGATTTGGTGTTAACTTAAAAAAAAAAGTGTTCCTTCACAAAACTTATAAGGCTGTCCAACATCAAAACTGGGAGATATTAAACCACATTTTTTTCAATGTAGTTTCATTCCTAAATAATTATGCAGATTTCAATCATAAAATATATATTACTTTATAAATCATAACAATTTTGATAAGAACAAATTTTTAAACGTGGTTTACGTGGAAAGGTTTGATATATTAATGTGTTGTTTTACGTTTCATAATTTTAAAATAATTAAACACCTATATTTAGTATCTGTCTATAATGAGTACTAAAACTCACTCAGTTTGTATTATGTTTAAGAATTAAAGAGATAAAACTAATAAAATTATTATATCAGGATTATAAAATAGGTAATATAGTAAACATACTAAATAAATTTTTGTATGAATTGGTAAATTATATTATAGAAATGCAAATAAGGATGAAATTTACAAATTTTCATCAAATTAATAAATTATTAAATACTAATTCACAATCGATTTTTTTTTATCCCGTTAGCATTTGGAACCGGTTAAATGAACTGAGTACATTGTAAAATGCAAAAAGTTATATTTTTGCATTAGTCACTAAAGAAAACAAAATTTGTTGAAACATACTTCTTATTGCGTCTAATTCAAAACATAATACTAAAATGCTTCATGGGGAGTATAGAGTTTTTAAATCTTATATATCATGTTTTTAAAATTTGCTTTTTATTACATATTATTGTTCATTGTAAACAGATATGAAAAAAAAAATTTTTCTTTTTAAAATTTGCATTTTTACCACTGCATATGTTTTTCATCTGGTTAATTTTCTATTGCTGTATTTGTGGGATAATCAAGGCAAATTTTCTGGTAATTTGAAACTTTTGATCAATAAAAATTTCTTTTCTGTTACATACTCAATAAAGAAATTCCTTTACTTAACATTGAAAATGTGAAAAAAAAAATGAATTTTAAACTTTCTTCTCTTCCGGCTCTATAACTTTAATCATTACTTAAATTAAACTCTTTTTTTTCTTGACAAATGTGTTTTTTTATTTAACTTTTTTCAAGTTACATTAAAAAGGAACAGTAAATAAAAAACTCTTGGTTGCTTTTAAAGATAATTAACTGTAGGCAAAATTCTATAACCATAGGTAAAGATAAAGTCGATGTAGTTAATGAAGAAGAACTATAGACATCAAAGTTATTTCTCAGGTGAGTATATTCATTTTTAATTTCTTTTTAGTCAAACAAGTTGAAGGTTAAAAGGTTTTTTATAAATGCAAAATAAGAAATATTAGTTAAGCAGTTAATACTAGTTAAAAATAAAAATTATTAAAAAAATTTCAACCCAAGTACACACAAAAATAGTATAGTTTTTAAGTGATGATTAGTTTAATATCATAAATTTTCGTGAAAGTTTTAAATATCATGCCTCTTCACATTTTAAATCATGAATTAATAAGGTACAGAATCATTTACCTCAAAATTATTAGATTATTTTTCAATCCTAGTACACTTTAATAATTTAAATTTTTTCCAATCCTTTACGAATCTTTGATCTTTATTTTTATTTTTCTCTTTGTTTCAATGTTTTTCGTAATGGGCTTAGTTTGTCATTTATTTTGGGACTATTTAAAGTATTAGAAAATTAATAAAGGTTTGAGAATTTCAATTGTAGATATCGAATTCCGATAAAATTTATAAAGCTTTTAAACTCAAACTTTTTATACATCAAATTCTTACAAAAATTCATAAAATTTTGAAAATTTAATTTTTGAATGTCGAATTCCAATAAAAATACAATAAGTTATGAAATATACCTGTTGGCTGAGTGGTAGCGCTTCGTGCTCCCGTGCCACAAGTCCTGGGTTCGATCTTCTGGTCGGGCAAGCTTGACTCAGCCTTTCATTCCTTCAGTGGGTCGATAAATGAGTACCAAGCATGCTTGGGAACTAAACAATGGGTGTTCCGCGTTCGGTTGACCACTTGACCGGATCATCTGCTCCTGCACCCCAGAGCCCAAGGTCAAGAAAACTGAGATGGGTACAGTAGGCCTTGGCCCTCTATGGGCTGTCGCGCCACTGAGTTTGGTTATGAAATATGAACTTTTGGTGATCGAGGAATTTTTGAAGCGTAGTTTAATAATTAAAGATCAAAT